CTGTCCAACCGACCAATGAGCCGATATATATGACGCACACTGGCAATTTAAAAATAAACGTTGACTATTTTAATTTTATAATACTACTAGAGGCCCGATGCACGAAATTCGTGCAAGGGGCTTGGCCCTCACAGCCTGGCTTCATCCAGAAGGTCATCCAGACAGTTGTTCTGCTGTTCAGTCGCCTGGCCTAATTAGCATATTGTGCTTTTATTGTTATAAATATTATATATACTATTTTGACATATAATTTTTTGGGAGAGAGAGAGAGAGATAAAAACATCAGTGATGAGAGAGAATCATTGATCGGCTGCCCCCTGCACGCCCCACACTGGGGATTGAGCCTGCAACCTGGGCATGTGCCCTGACCGAGAATCGAACCATGACCTCCTGGCTCATAGGTCGATGCTCAACACTGAGCCACGCCAGCCGGGCTCAGTTAGTATTTTTAATCAATGACAACAATCCAGGAGTCCCCAGGTTCTTTAGAAACCTAATGAATGGCTTTAACAACGTTCTAGCTTCTAACCACACCACAGTAAGGAAATGTGCGGTAATTTTGCTTCCTGAGGATAGAAACAAATAGAAGACTTCCTTCAAAATATTATTCAATCCACCCTAAAACATAACGTAACCTCACACGTGTTCAAGCATGAAAGTTCTTTGCCACGGTCATCATAAATACAGAGACGTTATTAAAGTGGGAGCTCAACTCAGGGGGAAGCAAGGGAGAAAGGTTTCCTCTCAGGGGGCGGTAGCTTGGCTTCATATCATTTGCAAGACAAACAGCAATTCCCCGCCAGAGTCCTGGGGGCAATGCCCACAGCACCGCGTCAGGGGAGAGTATGGCTTTGCCCGCAGAGGGACTGGAGTTGGCACCGAGGAAGGCGGTTGAAACTTGGGGCCAGAACGCACCTGCCCTCCTGGGTTCCTGGGCTGAGACAGCCTTCGCTTAGTTTTTGTCAAGGACACAGGGAGGTGTCTTTCTGGATAAAAGCAGGATTCCAGAGGTCTGGCCCAGTTCTCTGAGTCCAGGAGAGAGAGACGCGCCCTGGTGTCTGAGGCCTGGTGCCCCACGGTAGGAGGGAACCGGGAGGCACCGGCAGGTAACGCTCACTTGTTCTGCGGGGCACACTTCAGCTTTTCCCACGTTAAGTCTGTCCTGGCTAGATGAGGCAGGGGCTGCAGGTTCCTAGCGTCCTCCATCAGCTATGGGTGCAGCGACAAAACCAAGCTACTCATCTGTCTGCTGGACGGACAGCAGCTGGCAAAGGTCAAGGGGCCTCACCCATTAGCCGAATGTTGGCTGGATTGACCAGCTGCGAGAATGACCCCTTCGGGTAGCAGCTGTGCCCCTTCGTGCCTCCCTGGCTTTCTTTTTTGTTAGTGGAAGCAACAAAACCTGTGATGATTCACAGGTAAAAAGCTGACCTGTTTTTTTTTTTTTAAGATGATAAAGTAAAAGCGTTTTTACTTTGCTTTGTGATAAACCTGCTCTTTCCTACATTCTCACTGCGTGTTTGTGTCCTGGGGAACGGGAATGCTTCCCAATTAGAAGGAAAAAACCAAATTGAAAGGGATGTTAGAAATCCCCAACCCAGTGCGTCGGCCCCTTTCATTGTCTCACAAGTTGTTCTTGCTGGACATCTGCGGAGGGGAGCGTGCCCTCTAGGAGCCACCTACCTGGGATGGGAGGGCAGGAGGGAGTGGGAAGGGGACGAGGGAGGAGGGGAGGGAGCTCTGCCAGTTACCACCACTTACCCTGTGCCTGTGCCGACAGGAGTCAGGGACCTGCTGCCTGGTCTGGGCTCCGGCAGCTGAGACAGAGATGAGCCAAGTTAACACAGGAGCCCGTTAGCAAAGCCCACACCTCTCCTCTTTCAATAATACAGCGTTCAATTCCTCCCTCTGCGGAGGAGCGGGGGGGGGGAAGAGGCGGTGGCTGCATGCTGAGGCAGGGGGCAAGTCTCTGCTGCCAGCTGTCCAAAGCCTCCTCTGCCCCCAAGGTTACCGGGCCA